GAGGGAGGAGGGAGTTCATTGCTAAAACCTACTGGTTGTAAGCTCATTTAACTTATAATTTCTACATAGTCAGTAATAGTCTTCTCATTCTTTACTCTTTGTCTTTTCTTTTCTATTCCATCTCTCACTTTTCGTACAGTCTGTCAATTTTCTCCTTCCTTTTCTGCTTTCCTCTTTCTGTGCTTGTCAACAGGACTCTGCAACTTAAAAAAATAAAATTCCAGTGGAGGGAGGGAGTGTCCCCCCCCTCTTCTCACGGCTTTTCCTGTGTGTCTTCCTATTCCTCTGACTTCAGAATTTGTTTTTTAGACTTTTGTGGGTTATTTTTTTTGTTCTCTCTGTGATCACGACCTATGATTCTTCTACTACAATGATCTAAAGATTTTAGAATTTAAAAGAGTCTAAAGCTATTGAGCTAGCTTGTCCTCCTGTAGTGCTGCATAGAAATTAGTTCTATACTTGAATTTCCTTGAATGTACTGCCTACTTTGTAACTGCTGTTGGTCTACAGATCGTCATATGATACTGTCTGGGTTAGTTTCCATCTGCTGTAAATGGAAAATCACAGATGATGGGCTACTACCTGATGAATGTGGAAAATCTGGTGTTGACTTGATGGAAATTCAGAATCTCTGTGCCCCTTTTGGTCACTAAAGCAAGTTTTCAAGCACCTATGTTTGTTTTTAGAGAATATCTTTGTTCTCAGCTTTGAATTTGTAACTCAAAAAGGGGAATAAGAGACACAATGAGAACAGGACAATTTCATGTTTTCTCCTAGTCTCCTCTTTGAAGTCTAGGGCTAGTTGCTGCTGAGGCAGGAGTCAAGGTGTGAGTAAAACTGTAAGATCCTTAATTTTCCACAGCCACAACCTAGGTGAAGTCTGTCTTGCTAAAAGAAATAGTATAGGGGTTCCTTGTGTTCACATGTTGACAATCTTCCCGTGCTTTTTAGTGGAATATTCTCACTAGAAAGAAAAACTTGGGGCAATATAATTGAATGGTCCCATTCTTTCAATATCTGCTTGATATTTGAGTAACAGTCAGTACTTAAAAGCAAGTAAGTTCTTTCCCTTTCTCTTTGGAAGTAGCCTGCAGAGGTTTGATAGCCTTTTCTAGGTATTAAATTTATTTGCTCAAGATAATGATGTATTGAAGCACTATTTGAGGAACTGGCTTTGACTGTTACAAAGTTATTTTTGCTTATTATTTTGTTTGACGTTTTAAGTTGTTAAAACAAGCTGAGATGTTACCTAGGATTGCTGTTGTTCTAATCTGTCATGTGGAAAACACAATTGGGGTATTCTTTTCCTAGTTCTGTTTTTGAAATGCTGTTATATCCCTTCCATATAAAGTTATATTAGGTGACGTTCTAGACGACAGACCACATCTAGTACCAGATTTGTGGAGATTGTCTTGAAAAGCAATGAGATTGGTAGAATATTTATGATAGTTACCTCTGCCATTATGAAACTCTAAAAATGCTCACCTTAAAAAAAATCAATTATTAAATTGTAAAAGGCTTTTGTTTTGCATTATATCCATCTCTGCTACATAAAAAATAACAACCTTGATGTTTTGCTTAGAACATGGATAGGAATAAGAAAAAGAGGGCACTTTAAAATGCCTCCACAAAATTTATTGGCTGCAAAGACTATAGCCAACTTCAAATCAAAGGATGGTTGTTTCTTACAGAAAAACCTCTTCTTAAATCAGCGGGCAAATGGTCATACAGTTGCTGTAATAAGTATGAATTTCTGATTTGAATTTTGGCACAGATGTTTAAGCAGTGGTATAACACTAGAGTGCTGTTATAAGGAGTAGCATAAATGGTGCAGCTTTTCATTAATGAAAATGCCTACTATTTCTATATTTTAGCTGTTAAGTGTATTTAAAATGTAGCTTAAGTGCTCCCAATAGCTGCTGGGAGGATTTAAGGGGGATGTGCCAGTTCAACTGCCCCTTAAAAATGATTTAGGAGGGTTAATCTGTTGTCAACCAACTGTGTTCAATTGCTGTTGTCTAGGGGATGGTGATCTTAGAAGAATTCCCATTTCCAAAAGACATTTTGAAGAAGCAAATACAATTGACAGACCAAGAAGCTTTATTAAACGCTACAGGGAATTCGCAAGCTGCCGTTGAGAGACAGGATTCTTTGCCGGAGCATGACTTTGAAATGTCACCCAGCAGTCCTACCCTGCTTTTACGAAACATAGAAAAACAGGTAAAGTAAAATAAGAACTGAATGGTCAATGGAGCCAAATTATTTACTTCAGAAATAGGGCAGGTTCCATGGTGATGGCTTCCAAAAAGGAGGATATTTCGCAGTCCCGAGAGGGGCTGCTGATGAATTGAAGGGCTTAAATAACTACATTGTACACCAGGTTTACAAATTAACCTTTTATTTCTGACGTGCCTGTGTTACTGCTTTGTTTCCATCAAAGTGGCCACATAACCACTTCTAATAGCTATCCACAAACCTGCCTCTCCTTTATAGTTAGGTTCAATGTAGAGTAGCCACAGATTGTTTCAGGAAATACTTACATGAGAAGAAAGTAGAGCTGAAGATGGAGGTATGTTGCACTTAAAAAGAAAAAAGCCCCAACACAATACAATTGTTGGTCTACCTTTTCAAGCGTCATAGGACTCCAGTTAGGAGCTGAGGAATTCCAGGTACTTAACAGGCATAGCGTAGGCATAGCTGTGAGTGGAGTTTCGGTTCATGGTGTTCAAAACAGTAATTTCCAAGGTTAATTCCAGGAAATTACGATATAGACTCCAACAGGGTTTTCTTTTGCTAGAAAGTGCATAAAGAATGTGGTAGGATCACATTGCTGAAGGAGATACAGGAAATTTGTTTTCAGGATAAAATTATGTAGTTAGCGTAAAGCAAACATGACAAAGGCAATATGGTGCATTAATATGTTGCTCTGCTGCTGTACATAAATTCTTGGTCATACACGCATTATTTAAATGGGGTAAAAGTAGCTTCAGGTACTAATGCCCGTTTCTGAATCTCTGTGCCAATTTTTCTTATTTGATAGTCATACTTTCCTGTTCTTAAAATGCTTCCCCTCTTTGATAGATCTTATCCACAACAGACAGGAGTGAGGAAGCAATGAAACAGGAAATTTATATGCATAGTGCTGGCAATTGCACAAAGTAAACCAAAGAGCATTTTTAGAATGTGGTGAGTGTCCCCTCTTTAAGTGATAGTGGGAGAATTAAACGCACTTTTCAGTAAGACATTTGACAGTTAAAGTAATAGTAGTGTGTTTCCTGGTCCCCAATTAGCTACAAACAGAGGTCCAAGAACTTTGATGATCTGAAAATTACTTGGAAGTAAAGATGTTCTTCCTTTAAGGCATTTCACAAATTACATCAGATTTCTTCCCTTTACACCACAAAAAGCTTTGTGGTTTGATTTGCTTTTTGACTGTCAGTTCTGTAAATGACCCTTAACTCTGAAATTCTGAGTTTCTTCTTGTTCAGTGTCAGGAGTATTGTAGGCTGAAGTACATCCACAGATATTACCACAGAATTCTTCAGTCCTATGTTAAAGTATTTCTTTGTTAAAAATAAATAATTTTACTTGTGAACAAAAAAAAAATTATAATACAAAGTGACTGAGCTTGGCAATTTTTATTAATACTATTTTCAAGTCCTTTTCATAGCTATGCAGTGTTTTAAAAAGATGTGTGCTTTTCCTTGTGTTTTGGAAGTCTGCCATTGTTTTGGTGCTTTTATATTCAGTAGAGACTTTGCTTCTTACAGATTGAATTCTGTTGAGATTTTTAAATCAGTCTGCTAAATATTTTACTGGCGTCTTGTTTGCTTTGTCCAGACTTTTTATAATTAATTAACTTGCTATTTCTGTGCTTTAATACCCATCCCTGAATATTTTATTATGACGTGAAATTTTTACATGACTGCATCACTTAAGCATTAAGAAGAAAGACATGAGTTGTAATAAAGTGGAAAATATTTTTTTCTGTCTCTTTCTGTATAAATGGTAGTTCCTCAAAATGTAAAGAAAACTTACTGGATAACCTTTAGCAATTCTTGTTTTAAGCAAACTTAATTCTAAATGAAAATCCTACAAAATAATTTAAAATTTAAAAAAAAATTGTATGCCATTTCAGATGCATTTAATTTCTGTTTAGTGTGCAGCACACAGTTTCCTCTAAGAAAGCTATGTTTCTTGTCAGTATAGCCTTTAAGGTTTGACATTTAAAACAAAAAAATCATTGTGAAATGTTATCTGGATTCAGTCCACAATTCATTGCTTTATAAGGAGTAATTTTTAGTCTTAACAAATTAGCTGCATTTGTTTTGGGGCAGTTCTGAAAGTCTGGGTTTTGGTGTGGTGGGGGCTTCTTGGTGCTATTTCTGAGGATACCAGAAGATTTTAGCCATTCTGTCTGTAGTTACACTTCCTTTTGTAAAAACACCTTTGTTAAACTACACTGAGCAATGCAGAGGATTCTTTTAACAAGAAAAACACTTTGAGTGAACAAAATGTACAATGAGTAGACAGCAGACTTTTTTTTTTCCCCCCTGTTGAAATGCTTGTTGAATGGCCAGTTAGCAGCTCTGGGCTGCAGCTGTTGTAGTATCAGCTGTAAAGTGTTCTGGTTTCTTTTGCCTTTTTTAAAACCTTTGTTTAAAATACTAAAATCACTAATGTGTTTTGTGTACTACTTATTCAAATGTATAAACAATGTCCTTGGCTGGCTGGTTGTTCAGGGTTTTGTTGGGGTTTTGTGTTTGGTTTTTTTTTTTTTTTTTTTTTGTACAGTTGAGCATAATAACTGTGAAAGAAAAAACATGCCACTCCTGATTATTCACAAGAAGAAACTAAATATGATTATTCAATGATGTATGTGACTGGAATCCTAAGTAGGAAAACAACAAAAACGCAGGACTTTTTTGCTGTTGAGTCTGTATAAAAGTCTGACTACCTTTTATTTTTTTTATTTTTTCCAGAGTGCGCAACTGAGTGAAATCATCAGCAGCCTAATTGCTCCACTCAATCTGTCTCCAGCTTCTTCATCTCTTTCATCCAAGACCTGTAGGCACAGACAGCTGGTCAATGGCATCTCCTTCAGGTAGGTGACAGTATGGTAGCTTTTTTTTTTTTTAAAATAACTTTTGGTAAAGTTATGTAGATGGAACTGAAAATCATTACAGTCGTAAATCAGGAAAAGAGAGCTGCTTTCTGCAAGCTACAGGAAAAGTCGTCTTGCTTGTAAGGTTGAAAGTAGTAGGGTTTTGTGTTGTTCTTGAAGACATAAATTATGCAGTCACTGTAAGTGTATTTAAGTACTGGGAAGATGAATGTGTCTGTGAAGTAGTGAAAGGATACAGTAAATAACACACTACTGATTATTTTGGACTGACATTCTGTCATCATGAGCGCACCTTTATTTCTGGAAAAGCAACAAACTAGACTTTACTAGATTAGTACAATACATAAGCAATGTCACCTGTGCCTCAGCGTGGGTCAGTGTTAGATTTTCTGTGGCAGCTTCGTTAATTTTAAGCACATAAGTTTTCAATACAAGGCCAAATTTATCTTTGCCAGCTGCTTTTTTAAGAATTTGGAGATAATATTTTTCCATTTGTGGTCTTCTGTTCTGGATGGATATACCTTCCTGGATGACTATAGCAGCTTGAAATTAATATTGTAGAAAAATGTTTCTCAGTACTACTCCATACTTCTTAGTAATTCTGTCTTTTGTTCAAAGATTTTAAAATATAGTACAGGCTATAATCAGTAGTAGTCTCAAACAGCATTAAGGTAATTGACTACAGTCCTGTCTTATGAAAGAGCTAGGTATATAGGATATTTCTCCTGAGATAACTGGTAATGTGATTTCTGAGGATGGAGGGGTTGCTGTTATTCGTAGGTCTTAATTAGCATCAGATTGATGAAGAACGTGTTCCCTACTGGAGCTGGGGGGTTTATGGTAGTGTCTGCAGCAGAATGAAATTCCCTGGTTCCAAGAAGAGCTGGCCACGCCGTCTTGTTTCAGCAGCTTTGCCGCAGAGGCTGTAGCCTCCCACAAAGAGATTATAATGAGCAGCTTGGATGGGCAGCTTCTTTAACTGCCGTCTGTTCCAAAGCGATTGTGTGACTGTGCCCTAAATTTAAGGATGAAGGGGTCCTGTCACGTCACATTCATGCTCCTGACATATCAGTTGTTTACAAATAATGTGGGGGGAGATCAGAAGATTCCTCTGAGTTTTGGAATAAAAATAGCCCTGAAATAGGAGTTGTTAATAGAGATGGGCATGTGGAAGAAGAGAGTAATTTAGGCTGTTAGAAGGCTGTGTCTTGAATCTGTAACTTTTTCACGAAATAGACAAGACAGGCCTCCTGCTTTTAAAAATGTTTTTAGGAGCATATGAAGTTGACTTCATGACGAGGGAATTTTAATGATGTAACTTCAAGCCACTTCTCTTCTGATTCGTCAGACACTGCCCCAAATCAGTCCTCTTTCCATTTTAAGAGCAACACAGTGACTTGGAAGATTTTCTCAGTGGTGCAGCTCCGAACTGGAGTTGGTGAGCTAGGTGTTGGATGGGAATCTGAGAGACTCGAGTCCTTTCTACATGTCATCTTAAAATTCAGTTAAATAGTTAATTTTAATTTTTCACTTCTTGTGAAGTGTTTTGAAATCTGCAAATAAATACTGTTCATTAAAGATGATAATTAAGCACTATATGGAGTGGTTATCATGAGAATCCTGCCAGGAAATTCACTGACTCCTACTTCTTGGTTTTTGAGTGTGTTTCAGTTTTTTGTTGTATTCTGTTGTTGTAGTAGTTTTGTGTGCAATTAATTGACAGTTACATACTACAGTTAACTTCAGGTTTTGGCCACTTCTTCCCTCGCTTGCCCTAGAGCTCCCTCTGACTGTATTAAGTACTTGAGAAAGTAAAAATCAAAATGAAATGGAAAGTGAGGTGATTTTTTGGTTCTGAAGAGGGAAAAAAGGGGATGATAGCAATTTTTACTTAAGTAAATTCTTGAAATTAGTTGTAGACTCTTAGATGTGAAAGATAGTCCATGTTTAAAGTAGGTCTAAGCATGAGATACTTTGAGGTTGGTAATCATGGGGTTGCAGTGCGGTTGGTTACTTGGGCTATACCCAGTGGAAATGCTGGTGCATGTACAGTTCCTGGCTGATGAAATGTGGGTAACCTTGAATTGCTATTTGCCAAGGTCTAATTTCATTAGTGGCTTCCTTTTTCTATGTAGCTTTTATTTGCTCAAGTGAATCTAGATGCCAAGATTAGCCAGATGCATTGAAGGTAAGAGTTCGTAGAAGCAGTTCCCTAAACTAGTGATAGCCACTTTCTTACCAGGAGGGAGGAATGAAAAAGTTCAGTACAGATACTGCCTGTCTGATGGCCATTGCTGTGCATGTTTGTATTCGTGAATTTTACATCTGGTGATGGTTCGTATCAATTCTTCTGTAGAATCACATTTTGAAAAACACCCAAACTAACATCAAAATAAATGGGTAATTTGAACCTTGACTGGGAAGCCTATCTACACAAGTGGCAGGAAAAACATACTATTGTGTACTGGAGCTCCAAGCCCCAGAGCTAAGATCTCTGCTTCATCTGAAAATGAAGCCGTGCATTACTGTAAGGCACAGGAGGGTAAACAGAGCAGCTGGCAGAGACTGAAGAGAGATTATCAAAGACCAGGGCAGACCACCAGAACAAAGGCAGGAATCACAGAAGTTGAAGAGCCAGTCTGAGGAGCTTTTTGTTCTAATTTACCTGTCCGAGTTGTCTTTCATGTAAGAGGGAAGTATGTGGAAGTCTGGAAGTTGGGCTTGGCATCATCTGACTTCGAGGCCGATAATTACAGAGAAAATGTTTTTGAGAATTCAGAGAAAGTATTTTAAGAAAACGTTTGCATGGACTTTAAAGATTTTATTTCTTTCTCAAACCTTAAAAATTTGCTGTTAGCATTAAGAATGTAATGCTTGAGTATTTGGGGGCTTTGTCTTGGCACTTACTAATATGTTCCTTGAAATACATTGTACCATCCCTCTTTTAATTAGCACATTTTGTTTCATTGAGTCTGGGTTGCTTATTGGGATTGTTCTGATGTGTCAGAAGGACAGCTCAAATTCATGCCTATAAAGCCTTATTACCACACCAGCACAGCATGGGATGGTGTTTAATCACGCTTTCATAGCAAGCCCTTCTATTTAATAAAATGTACTGTTAGAAGAATACTACATGTCAAAAAAGATTGATAAGTGGCCTTGTAATAAATTAATTTTCACGTTTTATTGTGTGTTATAACTTTGCTAATAAGGCTGTGACTTACCAGATAAAGTTCATAAGAGAAAGTAATAATTCATGCAGATAGATGACCTGTTATGAACTAAGGCCAAAATACCTCATATGCTTCCGCTTCTCAGGCAGTTTAAAGTTGCAGTCAAGGTCTTCAGTATTGTGAAAATAAGTGCACACTTGAGTGCTTTTTGCAGCAAGCCTTCAGCTTTGCAGGCAGATGTTGCTACAGCAACAAAGTAAGATCAGGATACCTATAAAAGTAAAGTGCATTGTTCCCATTGAGTCATTCCCACCTGAATGGAGGGTGTTTTGAATTCTTGCCTTGTAGTGTTCCCTGTTCTGGTGAGCAGACAGGCTGTAGATTGGTGAGAGTGATCCAATGTTGCTATATGTATAGGGGTTTCTACCGCTTTCTTCCCTGACCCCCCCAACTTTTGTGCTTGCATACTGTATTACGAAGGACATGAGTATAGCAAGTGTGTGTGTAGGTAAGGTCCTAGAGGGATGATGCTATGAGACTGAGGGGGATTTGAAAGGGATAGACTTCAGGAAATGCAGGTAAGATTGAGCTTGGCACATGGAAAGCTTTATTTTAACATTAAATGTAGACCCTGTCATGCTGTGGCTGGAGCTGAGCTTGCATGCTTCCAAATCATCTGGGTCTAACCAGCTTCTAGGTCTTAGAGACAGATGAACAGGCTAGGCTTTCCCTCCTCCCTGAGAGCTTCCCCCAGGCTGGGCTTGGGGTCTATTGAAGAGCCCTATTGGCACATTCCTGGAAGTAAAGTTTAATGGCCTTGTGTTAGTTAAACTAAGTGTGCAGACTTCCTAATCTTGATACAAATGCTTCACAGTGAGTTGCAGCCCCTGCACTGAATGGACACTGTTTGTAAAGCTTTGCTTAAGTTTCAGTTCTTGAGAAAAACTAGAAAATCCCAGAAGTATTTGGGCAGCACTTTAGGTCTCCTTCGTGTTAGCATGACTGCTGCCTTGAATGGAATGTGGGGAAATACTTAATTGTAACTTAAAACTCATAGGGGTTAGAAGTGTTAGAAAGAGAGTTCTTGAATTTGGAAAAAACAAAAAACGTTATATGCTTGAGGGCTTAGCTTCGTTTTGACATTTGTTTCCATGAGCAGAAAAGTATTATAACAAGAATGATAAACTTCCTTTCATGACCTAACATAGAATTAATCAAAGAACAAATAAAGCACATACATGGTTTCCAGAAACAGGGTGCTGAAACATTTTAGTGTTTATAAAATTCTCTTAGAATTAGATTGCTAATGCTAATCAGCGTATGAAATCTTGGCCTGTGCATGTGGTGCATATGTAACTTCTTGTATTTCCTCCCCTCATTAATCATGAAATTGCAGAGCTTCAGACAACAGAGAGGTATCCTCTTCCAGCAGCTGGTTGCTTGATCATCAGCACATCAAGAAGAGGAGGAGAGACAGGACAAGACTAAGATCTCTTTCTGTGGCTAATGTGAGCACATCTGCCCGAACAAGGCCACTTCATAGTCTCCAGAAGAGGAAACTCTACAGAATGCACAGTGCCTGTTACTGGAATCAGCAGGTAGGCCGTCGCCTCTCTCTTCAGGAGGCAAAACCAAAGAGTCCAGCTGCTAGAGTCTGCATGTGTCTGGTACGTCAGAAGAATATTGCATGCTGTGCTGGTTATTTGTTACGTTCAGGGAGCACATAGTATATGTGGCGGGAGTACTAGATGTGTCAGCAGGAGCTAAGAGTTAATGAGTTGAACAAAAGAATTAAAGGTCGCTCAGAATCCTGCTTATCAGATCAGTTTCTTGTACGGCTGTCTTCAAAGCCTTTGTACAGTCTAAGAGAGAACTCGAGAGCTTCCTTGGGAGGCTTGACTGGTGAGGAAACATCCTACAGTGTAAATCAGCTGCCTGCCTTGTTTTCAGAATATTTGTTTTAGCTACGAGAAAGTTTACACAGCTGGTGGCACATTATTTTCTAGGAAATTAAATTGCAATATCTTAATCTTGTTTCCGTTTTTGCTGTTCCTGATTAGTTATATTGCCTTTTTCATGACACTTTACAAATGCTTTAAATCTCTTAAAATTTTCCACATTACAAAGGAATTAATATTTTAAAATGGGGAAAAAAAGCATTGTCTGTTGTGCAGGGCAAGGCATATCTGTTCACATCTGATATTAATAGCATATTGCTGGTAAGAATATATAATGAGTTTAGCTGTGGTGCTTAAAGCAACAGTCTAATTTGGGAGCAGAGACGATATGAACTCATTCTTTAGAGCAGTGTTAATCCCAAGCAGTTTTAATTCCTTGATTTTACTTTGTCTTTTAAAAGTGTGCTATATTGAGAGAAATCTCCATGTTTCCTCAGTTAACTGTCTAGCATTTACTAAGTGTACCAGTGGTCTAGGGAGAAATTTCCCCTGCAAGGATGTTCCGTGTGAGTGTGCTGATTCAGCATCCTCTGCAATATTGCAGAAGTGTCCTAGTTTTAGCAAGATATTGAAAAACTGTCCAGTTTCTTACTAGCTTGACTTTACAGCTTCCTAGCAGTGGGGCTTAAAGTCTTGACAGCCTGCCTGGAGGGTTGATGGTGGGGGATGGGGATGGAGGGTTACAGTTTGGGAGCTCTACCTCCTAGACACTTAGGCTTTTCATCTTCCTTGCATTAACCAAGGAGACTGTTGCTGACTTGAATTTCCTAGTTTCCCATTCAATCCAATCCATGTCCTGATAAAGAGGTTGGAGGCCTTGCTCTCCGACTGATGTCTCCAGTACCTCAACTGCTTCTTGCAGCTGTGGAGATTGGTCCTCAGCAAGAGACTCCAGGACTTTCCCTTCCTTCTAGTTAAACATGAGGGGTTTCCACTGCAGATGCAACTTCTAAATAACAAGCTTTTCTAGAAGCCTGCATGTTGCAGGCTCAAGTATCTCGTATTTCTGTGAGCGCTGCCTATGTCTCTGTCTTTTGAAAACTGGGCCGGAGTTAGTGCAGTTCAGAGAATAACGGTAGAAGCTTGTGAGGAGAAACTTCATTTCTGCAGCCCAGCAGCAGGAGTTCAAAGCAGGGTTTACATTTTTATCTTCAACTAGCCATAGTGCTGAGCTGCTTTGCATGCTCAGTAGTTTACCTTCACTTGTAGTCTAAGAAGATAAATTCGTAGTTTACCTTTGATGGTAGACTGCAATCAAAAAGTGCATTTTTAAGTTACTAGTTAAGGCTTCAAAAATTAGAGCTGGTGCAACTGTGTGTCTGTTCCATGCTCTTGATGTCTCTAGTGCTGGGTTACCATATACTAACCCAGCTCCAATGTCTCTGTACCGAAAGTGCAGAGATGTCCCAAAGACAGTGTGGTAAACCCCACCCTGTAGGGAATGCTGTTTATGCTTACTGCAGCTCTCGGCTCAAACACTTGTGTTTAGACTCTGCTTTCTAATGTCCTCTTCATGGGGAAGTTAACCCAGAGGCCATGTGGGGGACTGCGTCATGTGCCACAGATAGATTATGCTCATGTTCCCGGAGAAAATAAGAGGTGGCAGCAATCAAACTGTCAGCTTCAGACTTCACGTAAGTGCGGAACTCAGTTAAAGTTTTAAAAATTAAGGTAAAGCAGTGAACAAAGCCTCTTACAGAATGTTGGTTAAAAACAGAGTATCAGGGATCCTACTGGGGAAGTAAGTGATAAAATTGAACTGGACATTTGCATCACATTCTGACAATCAAACGTAAATGGGTATCGAGTCTCTGAATTAAGAGCCATCATCAGTGTATTGTTTCATTCAGGAAATCTTATTCTAACAGGCCCTGTCACTTTCTTAGTCCTGCTTTTGCTACACTTGGTTGCCCAGCTGTTGATAAGATTGCTCAACCTGTAATGGAAGAACACTGGCTATCAGCCCAGGCTGACTATTAGATTAGGCAGATGTCTAAGGGTAAGGATGCAAAATGGGCAACGGCTTCTGGTACTGATACCTGGTTTTCTTTGAAAATGCATTTATATTCCCAATAGTAATCCAGTAAATTTCCTTTGGCCTTTCATAGAAAAAGGAATTACTTCTTAACAACATGGAAAATTGTTGTATTTTTAATATAAAGTTAGTATGCTACCTCTAGCAAGTGCTTCTCCTGTATTTCTTCAAGTTTCTCATACTTACATAGCCCCTGGTCTGCGAGGACCCCCATTTATTTAAGGTCACTGGCCTGGGAGCAAGCTGGAGCTAGGGAAGACTCGCTGCCACGTCCCTGCAGCAGATGTGGAGTTAACAGAGACCAGCTTGCCAAAGTCTGAGGAGAAGATTGAATATTCTGAACATCGCAGCTCCTGTGCCAGCTTCCTCACAGTGCCTGGTTCAAACAGCCAGCGAGCGAGTGCCTGGCAGTGCTGATGGGCGATGCCGCTCTGCAGAGTAATCTGAGCAGACGATGACTAAAGAATTCTGACCAGAGAATCACAGCAAAATGCAGACTTCCCATGTGTAGCAGATTAAGAAATGCTGGGATAACTTTGAGGAATCTGGCTTTTTGGGATGACTGGTTGTACCCTTTGTGCATCGAATGGCATTCAGAGTGTTGTCCTTCACATCTCTTCAGATTCTTTTGGGAAGCTCATCCCCCCTCCTTCATCCCCCAACATCCATGTTAGGAAAAGCAAAGTATGAAACTGTGAACTGCTATCCCATCTGTCAGTTCATAAGGTCACTGGGAAGACAGCCACATTTTTTCTCTTATCTACTGCCATGCCACATACATTTACAGTGCTGTCAAAAGTTTGAGTATTTAGTGACCTAGTAGCCTCCCAGTGCCTGTTGAGAGATGCTCTGTGTTGTCCTCTGCTTTGCTGTATTTCTTTTCTGAAGAGAACTACACCATCCCCTTCTCTGATATTTAAATAATACTTACGCAGAATAGTGTCTAAACGAAAACATAGAACTCTGTGAAACTCTAGAAGACCTGCCAGATCTACAAGATAGTTAGACTGGAGTGGGGATAAATAAAACAGGATGCAGGGTGTTTGGTTTATCTGTCACCATCCAGTATCCTCAGGAACTTGAAACATCCTTTGGGGCCAAATCCGCTTGTCCCATAAATCAGAATGACTACCACAGATGATCCGTGAGTCATCTTTTGGCTGTGGAATCTGTTTTGTATCTTTCTTCTTTCATTATCTAAATAGCTGGGTAAGAGCTTAGGCCATTTTGTGATTGTGAGTCAGTGCACAAGCCACTCAGAATAATCCACATGCACGATAAACCCTGCGAGCGCAGTCTGTGTTCCAGTCTAGAGGACGTGATAGTAGTGACGCATTTCTTCAGCATGATTTTTGAATGAATATTAAAACTTGTATGCAGGATAGCACAAAGGAGTAAACTGAAGGCATGGTCTAGTAGGAGGACACATGCTTGAGGGCAGGGATTGTAAGTGCTTCGTTCAAAATGCTGGATCTGCCACTCATTTGCGTTGTTACAGCTGGCAAGTCAAACAACCTCTGGCTAATTGTCTCCTCCTATGAAAATGCACATAATGTAGTTCTAACACTAAGAAAGAAGGCAAAGAGTATCAAAACATTAAAAGCAAGAAAGTCTGTAAGTAGCAGATCAGTGTCAGGACTTGAAGACATGAGCTCCAATTGAATCATTTCCCAGTGATCATTGCACTTATAACTGCTTCCCACCTCCCCCTCCTCAATTCTCCAAAGTCTAATGCCTGGGTGCACCTGCAAATGCTTTTCCTATGGTGGGGACCAATACTACCTCAGTCTCTGCTATTTTTTGCCTAAACTTGAAGGAACTGGATTATGGGTGAGATATCAAAAGTTCTATTAAGTTTGTTTAAAAGCAGACGAATATTGTTATTAGTCAGATGCTCTCAAAGAGGTCTTTGTTTAGCTGACATGTCCTGATGTTTTCTGTTCTAGTATTTTATCTATGTGGCTTGTTGCAGGGTTTTTTTTGTAACAAGGAATTTGTTTTGCCAGTACATTTTGTTAGTTTCTCATTTAACATCCTAACTAATTACATCAGTTTCATTTCTTTTTGTCAAGTCATGCTTTGACAGGAGTTGTCATTGAGGCTAGGTAGTGTTTTAATCTATTAAAACTTTATATAGCTATTAATAAAGCAAGAGGCAATAGAGGAGTGAGATCTGAGTACTGTAAATTTTGGTCCTATCCATTTCTTTGCAGGATTGTAGACCACAGTGGTTTTTGTTTTGTTTTTTAACCTGAAAATTCTCATTGTATTTGTATCTCCACCTGCTGGAGGAAGAGGTGGTTGTGTGGACTGAAGTACACGAAGAAAACTAGAATTCAAATTTGCAAAGGTGCCAACACTCTGAAAGCTGGGAATTGAGGTGCAAAAGCTTACAGTTTAGATAACACAAGAAAACAATTGGCATAATATTGCTAGCTCTTATAGATGAGTATTGCCACATTTTTTCTCTTCAGTCTCAAACGGGAGTTAAGTGAGAGCAGAAGAATATCTGCTTTCATTTAGTGGGGGTTTTTTAAAAAAAAAAGAAGGGAAAAAAAGCACAAGTCCTTCTCCAGACAGGAAAAACGTATTTAAATTCTAGGGT